ACCTAGAGTGTGAATCTATCCATTTTTGGCATACAAATACCTGAACTTGTAACTTAATACCTAATACTAACCATTCGCCAGATTCTAGAACCACTATTCTCATTAGCATTGAGCCACGTTTATTTGTTCATTACCTTAAGATACACACACTCTTTGACACTGACTGGTATACCATAAAGAATTCCACCTTTATCACCATTTGCATCAAGTTCTTTTGCCCATTCCTGTTAACAAACCATAGGGAAACTATCTAAGCCCAGCTTTAGCTTGTATATAGTTTTTATGTGTGGGGTCATATATTTCATGTGTCAATTTATCAGAATGCTGCACAAACCAACAATTTCATAAGACAATGTTAACGACACTGCAAGACAGATCTTTCATTTTATTTTATTTTATAACAGTGAAAGTGACTACATGCTAATACACTTATAAACTTTCTCATACAAATACATGTAAACTGTTTAATTTCCACTGTGGAACTTCACACAATGTGTCCATCCTGGGTATAGCAGCAAAATTTTATAAAAGATTGAGTGACTCAATCCAGACATGTTAAGGTCATCAGTAACATTTTCACTACTCAATATTTTTAATATTTCTATATGTCTCTTTGTCTCTTGTGAAATTAAAATTATTTACAGTATTTCAATAGAAAACATTTTTCTTACCTCTGCTTCAATTATCGGTTCGGTTACGCAGTTAGTCTGACTGCTACATTCTAATGCCTAGAAAAAAAAACTGTTGTTATATTAATTAATTTCTGGGATTGTGTCCATGTAATTTGTACAATCAGTGTGAAATGGCATGTGTTATTAGGGCATTCACTTACTCTTATCAACCATCATTAAATTAGAATCATGCTGACAATTTGGTTTTAACAAAATGCTGCAAGCTAACTTTGATTTATGACTCAATATAGTTTGGGATTTAAGGTTCATTTTCAGTCATAAGCGATGTTTAGAGTAACTCTCTGCATGTGTAGAAATAGATGTTGATGGTACAGTGCAATGTGTCTTGTGGAATTTGTGAAAAAAATATTAGCAAACTGAAAAATACAGTATGTTCTTGGATAATTTACCATCAAAATGATCAATGAAGTGTAAAGGTACATGAAACACTAAATTACAAAGAGAATAAAATGATAGACAGCGATAACAAAATATCCCAGCAGCCACATGAAAACTTGTGGTAAGTGTAACCTTGTAAATACAGCTAGGATTTTCAATTTTTGTTAAGTTTATATGCAATCTGCTATTAATTTGTTTGTGAATTTTCTCCTCCAATAAGCAAACCAAGCTAAGCCAGTCTGAGCAATCAGATGAATGTAACTCAACAGGTGGTGGGTATGGTCTGGGTCCAAGAAGCAAATCAAAACAAGTCCACTTTCAGTTCATGTAAGAAAGCTCAGATTATATAAATAAGCAAAAAAGTTGATAAAGATAAAACAAGAACATTGTCACCTTTATGTATGGCCTGGTGCTATGAGTATGTACCAAAATGAGTAGTATGTGGCTGTGATAGCTCCACAGTCTATGATGCAAATACCCCTGACAAAGTCGTGGTTGTTGAGATCTAAGCAAAAACCGTGATTTATCGAAGGTCGTGACTTACCAAGGGGTCTCATGAAAGGCCGAGAAGTACATAAAGTTGCGATTTCATACCCCGCTGACACCTCGAGTCAGGCCGCCATCACCTTTTGCATCTCAGTAATTGATGGCCAGCAGGTGTTAAGCTGTCTACTCCAGCACTTTAACGACCAATGCGAAATATTTAGTTGTTTTACTTCAAAACGGACAGCAAAAGAACTTAGACTTACTGAGGCATGACTTAGCAAATAGTCACTGTAGTCTGAAAGTGATCTGATCTACACTAAAGAAGTTGGATTATAAATATCAACAACACATATTTTTTTTTTCTCAGTTATTATCATCATTTTTCTGTTATTTTATTTTATTATTTTATTTTTTTTCATCCTTACTTTATTGTAATTTAACTCAAGATTCTATAAAGAATACGATATCAATAAAGTTTATTATTATTATTATTATTATATATATAAAATATGAAAACAATCAGGCCAGTCCTTTTCAACAAAAAGTTTAAACAAATTTGTTGAGAATGCAAAGTTGATGACCATGATGGACAATCATTAATATGTAGACAGCAGAAATAAACACAGAATACAACTTTTACAGATACATGTTTTATACTTACAGTAGCAACATCCAGGGTATTTAGTCATCGACCACATGCCACATATTCGGCCTGTGATATATTCTTCACTCAATACTAACACTTAATTTGATTAAAGCAATCAATTTAACAAAGGTGATAAAAATTGGGGTGATTCAAATAAAGTTCAACTTATCAAACTTTTAGAGCCAATCAGTTGTTAATGATTGTTTAAAATGGTTGCTGATATCATTGGTGTACACACTATGTTGTTTTATTTAATCTATGAATTCAAGATTGTGAAGGAATGTGAACTTGTTGGATGACCTGACTTGTACATTTCATCAATTAATATTCATTTTTAGAGTGAAATCACTATAATACACAATCATGACAAATCTTTGAAATTACCGGGGTAATCAACTTATCATTTACACAACCCTTCAATTACCATGATAATTTTTTCATTCACATTTCAGACTAAAAAGACAGTATCAAAAAAAAGATTAATTTTGTGAAAGTTGACTCAAAATAAATTTTTGTATGACAAGAAATCTTATCTTTGCAATAGTATTCCTTGCAGGTAAAGCAATGAGGAGTGTGAACTGCAAATGAGACAACAATAGAACAATATGTAACCTACATGTTTAATTCTTATACTTTAATAATATGCAATTAAATGGAAAATGAATTTGTCAATTTTTCAGCAGGTATTGTTAGTATACATATTACAGTGTCAACACCCCAATTATTCATTTGGTTAAAAAGGTCATTTTGGAGTTATTGGATAGTACATTTTTCATCAACAAAGGTCATTGCAAAGTGATCTAAACAATGCAATAGCCATTAGGCAAGGGACTGTAAAACATTTTTTTTTTAATCTTCAAATATTTCACTTTATTTGGAAAAATTTTCAAATTGGTTATGTTTACTATCTCATTCTATATCATGTCAGTGTTTGGGATAATTCAGTAAAAATGGTATTATAAGAGGATTACACTACAAACCCACCTCACACTATGAAATGTACTGGTCAGTGTTTTCAAAACAGACCAAAAATAAAAAAATTATGCAAATGAGTGGTTTAGCTATATATATATATTATATATATTGTTTGGTTTTACTAATAATAATGGACAAAAATATGAAATAAAATATAAATTGGAAAGCTGAGAGGAATTTTTTATCATTATAATGAAGACCAGTGTTTTACCAAATATTACCAACTTCCTGATATTAATCAGCAGGGGTTTTTCTAGAAAAAATGAACAAGAGGGAGCACACACAGGTGAGGGAGCGGAGCGACCAAGCGGGGGGATAGGTGTGGAAGGTGTGGAAGGGCGTATCGACCTGGAAACACCATATCAGAGGTTTCTGCATCGTTTTAACAGTGTATCTATCGCCATTGAAATATTTTTGGAGTAATTTTAGTGTATTTGGTGTCCAGACACATTGTCAGCTGGGTGTTGCTGGGAAGTTTTCACAGAGAAAAATATATTTGAGAAAGATTTCATGTTGTATACGGCAGCATGGCTCAAGAAATATATTTATGACTTGAAAGTTCAATCAGCAAGAGGGCACCAGCCGAGAGTATCAGAGCACCGTGCCCCTGTTCCCCAGTTTAGAAAAAAATCTGTTCAGGAATTATTTTAGTACTGTAAAAAATCTATATTACCGGTACACGGAGGTGAAAGAAGTATGTTGATGTACGCGGTGATTGAGTTGATGTACGCGGTGATCGAGTTCTTACCTTGGCTTGATATGCATGTAAAACTTCTACTGCAGATAAAGAACCAGATTTCAAAGCTTTACTCAGTTCACTCAGTGACATTTCAATGATCCTTAAACGTTTAGCCAGAATTACCTGCAAAATAATATTAATTTTATTTCATCCTTGTAAAATAATGTTACATGAGGTTCATAGCAAAAATTTATTTTTCACTGTGACTTGTCACATGACTAAGTTCACTCCTAATACCATGTAATATTATGAGGATTGTTGGGTAATTTGTATTTATATGTTATTTTTATCTAGCTATATAGAGCTTGTGAATCAGTGTCGCTGTGGCTATTAACCTTTTCATCGCCAGTTCCCTCTTTTCATCACAAATTCACAAAATAGTCTTGTTTATAGTCTGCATTTTTCTTCAGACGACTGGAACAAAAAATAGTCAATTTTTTTGAGTAAAAACTGAAAATTTACTCAAATTTTGACTGTGGGTCCCAAAATTGTGGTTCATTTGCAGAATAAAAAAGTGCAGAAAATTAGAGTGAGTAAAAGTTAATATTGTATATGTTGAGTTCATCTAATGCACATAGCTCTGTGTGCTGCTGATCTAGCCTTGGTCACATGGGGTGAGAAATGGAGGGTTAAGCGCTTTGTAAATATTCCTTATTAGTGGGCTAAATCTGCACTCTGTTCATTCAATGCAGACATTTATATTTTAACTTTGTGCTGCACATCTATATTCACATTCTTTACGGTAGTAGTACATGGCAGACTGAAACACTGAGCCACACGAGTCTCTGGTATTTTTTTTTTTTTACACTTTTACAGTTAAACAGACCATCATTATGTTTATTATTACCTTTTGGTTGCATATATTCAGAAGTTACCGGTATTATAATATGAACTGTCAAACAAAAGTGCTCTTAATTCGTTCACACTATTGTGGCTTAAATTTGTTGTCTCATGGCATTCCGTCAATCATTCAGTCAAAATGCCGTGGTCAATTTTTTTTTAATGGAAACTAATAATTTTGTCTCATCAAGTAATATACTTTATTTTAGCTGGAATTAATTTTCACTGGAAATACTTTTTTGGTGTTTTGTACTCAATTTACTTTCATTGATTAAATGTAAAATATAGGAAGAAAGGTATACTGTGAAATAGTTTATTTTCGCTGGAATTAATTTTCGCTGAAAAGGCTTTTTGGGCGTTTTTTATGGAATTTATTTTCACTGATTTTTGATCAGTTTAATGTGAAATATAGGAAAAAAAAGTATATTCGCTGGATTTTATTTTCACGGAATTATCCCTCCAGCGAAAATAGCGAAAATAAATTCCAAGCAAAAATAAAGTAGTCTACAGTATTCGCTGGGTTTTATTTTTACTGAATCACTCCTTCAGCGGTTGATCTGATAATTATGATCCCTATAACAGCCTTGTAGGCAGGGTGAGTATGCATATCGGTAGTCCTTATATTAATTATCATCATACTGCACGACACACACACACACTCTCCCACAAACATCGGCGATAGCGGATAGTGACGCCCTTGACACGCCCACACGAGACGATTGCGGTCACAAAACATACTAGGGAAAATCAGTGGCAAAGCATCCTGGGTTGTATGCTCGAGTTGTATATGTTATGAAAATGTTATTTGACGATTTCTTTTCAAATTTATGTTACCTTGTCGTGTGTATGGAGTCTCTCAGCGAGCGCTATTTTCATACGAGTAGCTTCGTGTTGTCTCTCCAAAGCTTTTTTTCGATGCATCAATAACCGCCTCCGAGCTGCTGACCTTTTTGCTACGTAGATGCCCAGTACGACTGCAATTGCGACAAGAAGCTTTTTCTGTTGACATTTTTTCACAAGATTTAGCACCAATTCTAGACCCAGCATATTGTAGTTTGTACCACGGTTGAACTAGACTCAATTTCAATTTCGGACGCCCGGACAGTCACAATATTACAAATGAAACCGACTGTACGTGCACTTCGCTTATGATAGTATGGGCCTATGCGCCCTCTGTAGTTCAGTGTTGCAAATCAGTAAAAGTTCATCATGACACTTGTTTGTGCTCTGAGAGATTATTATATCACAATATATTAGCAATAATAAAGCTCCAACCTCGTTTTTGAGAAAACAGTATGTCTATATATAAAGACTCTGTAAGGAAATAGTAAGACATTCTTATTTTTCTAACTCGGAAAAATGAGGGCGTTGGGTCATGATGGTTAAGATCCTTGGACTTATACTGGATATACTAGAGCAAACAAATCCTCCAAAATAAAATATTGTTGAGATATAAAATGCATGTGGGTTGTTGATAATAAATGACCTTATAATGTTGGAGTAACTAGTGCGTCTACGTCTTTCTTCACGAACAATTGACTTACGTGTAACACCGCCAACGCCCCCTGAATATTGATGACGTTCAATTATTTGTCTGACATTTTTCCTTCTCTTTATGTTTCTTTGCAATTGTGTTGTATTTGTTCTTTATGTAGTTACATTCCCGACCCAAATCCAAATTTTGTATTCCAAAAGGTTGTGCAATTCTTATTGTGCAATCTTGTGTGATGTAATAATTAAGGCATTCCTATGAAGACTA